TTGCGGCCACTTGGGGAGTGAATCAATGCACGGAAGATCATTCTCTGCATCCTCTCTGTCTCTCTTCCTTTCTGTATATCTGATTTTCTAATAAAAATAAGATGAATCTTTAAAAAAAGAAATACACAAACAGGAAAATGGAGAAATCAAACAGAATCATCATGGGGGCAAATATATTTAGGCAGAAAAATTATCTTCTTGAATATTATCAAACTGTGATTTTTTTTGTAACCATGCAAAATAACCCTAACCCTAGTGAGTGAGTTATGTAGGTCACACTTGGGGAAGGCCAGTCCTTGTGTCCTGCCAGCTGTGTCTGCTGCAAGGAAACATGTCAGCCCTACTTTGATAGCATGGGGAGTGGAAACTTGGCAGGGCAGGGGCGCAGCTGGGAGGGCCTCTGGCCTCTCGCGCCTGAAGCTCTTTGCTCTCTGCTGCCCCCTGCAGGTGAAAACAGAGAGGCGGCCCCAAGAGGGAACAACAGGAGAGTACACCGCCTCCTGCTGGTTGCAGGTTGAGTTGTCACCACTGAACTTGAAAAATGATGGTCTAGAGGTCCACGTGATATAGCTCAATTGCTTAAATCCTCCCCTTGTAAGCACCTGGATCCCACATGGTCACCGATTTGTGTCCCATCTACTCCACTTCCCATTAAGCTCCCTGTTTGTGACCAGGGAAAGCAGTTGAGGACAGCCTAAAGCCTTGGGACCTTGCATCCATGTGGGAAAACTAGAAGAGGCTCCTGGCTTTCGATCAGCTCAGTTCTAGCCATTGTCGTCAATGGGGAGTGAATCATAAGATGGAAGTTCTTTCTGTTTCTCATTCTCTCTGTAAATATGCCTTTCCAATGAAAATAAATAAATTAGGAAAATCTGAACAATGACTGTCTTCTGATAAAATCATAACAATCCTTTGATCCTGTCAGGAAAAGCCTGGAAGCCCTTACTAAGACAAAGTGCCTTTTTGTGTAAAACATTACAGAAATAGAGGGCATCATGAGAGTCAACATTGCTGTTCTGTTCTCACACACCAAGTCCTAAGTAGTTATGGCATCCTCTGTGAGGCCTGGCCATTCGAGCCTTCTAGCAATCCACAGAGTGGTGGGAAGGACCGGGGCAGATTTGCCGTGGTCATCCCAGCTCCTAGCACAGCGTTTGGTACACAGCCGGCTAGATGAAGAGATGAGGTCCTTTCCAGAATGCCAACTGCAGCACAGGGCACGGTGGGCAGAGGCTCAGGCTGCCAAGAGACAGCTGGGAAGGTTTCTAGATGCAGAACAGCCCATGGCACCCCCCTCCCCAAGCCAGGTGGACCTGGGCCCTGCCAGCCACCGGCCCCTAACTGGGAAGAAGCTACTCTTGGTGGAGGTGCTTCTGCTGAGTGGATGGTGTACTTCAGGATACAGAGATGGGGAACGGGGGTTCTTACTTGAGGTTGCGGAAAGACTGTGCCACTCACCAGTGTCTTCTGTTTCTGAGAAAGTCTGTGCTTCTGGGTGCTCTTGGAGTCAGAGACAGAAGAGTCTTTCATGGCTGCCCCCGAAGGCTGTGGGCGTGTTCTGCGCACAGAAGGGCAAGCTGTGGGGGTGGGGAACAGCACCGAGTGCGGAGAGCCCCCTCCTTTCGATCCACAAGGCACAGTTTCCTCCAGCAGGGCTCTGGGTCCCTCTGGTGCCTGATGACACCCAGCAGGTCTGGGCCCAGACCCTTTCCTTACATTCCCAGAGCCTTTACACTCCTAGAGTCAAACAAATAAAACTTTCAAAACAGAAATGGAGACAATCTGAGTTTTGCTTTGCCTTTCTGACTAAAGTTGTTATGAAGCTTAAGAATAAAAAGCATTGGGGCCCGGTGTGACAGCCTAGTAGCTTAAGTCCTTGCTTTGCATGCACTGGGATGCAAAAAAGGAGCTGGATGTGAAGATGCTGGAACTGACAAGTGACCGATGGGGGATGTCGGCGTCACAGCTGGCCGGTAGCTTTATACACTTGTTCTGAAAGCTTGGGGTGTCACTTTGGTATTACAACAGATGTTTGACACCAGTCTTCTCATGGGAATGAGAAACACTTCTATTTATGCCTTTTACTGCTGGCAGGCACTGGATGTAGAAGCATAACAGGTGGTGGATTTAACACAATGTGCCCCAACAATGGCTCTGTTTTCAGTTTTGATGTCATAGAGAAAATAGTAAAAACAAAACAAAAGGGCCCGGCGCGGTGGCGCAAGTGGTTAAGGTCCTTGCCTTGCACGCCCGGGATCCCATATGGGCGCCGGTTCTATCCCGGAAGCTCCGCTTCCCTTCCAGCTCCCTGCCTGTGGCCCGGGAAAGCAGTTGAGGACAACCCAAAACTTTGGGACACTGCACCCGCGTGGGAGACCCGGAAGAGGCTCCTGGCTTCGGATCGGCATAGCATCGGCCGCTCACTTGGGGAGTGAATCATCGGACGGAAGATCTTCCTCTCTGTCTCTCCTCTCTGTACATCTGCCTTTCCAATAAAAATAAAACAAATCTTAAAAAAAAGAACAGGATACCTAGTGGAGCCCACACACTTGTTCAGAAAGCTTAGGGTGTCAGCCTCAGCTGTTACATTGTGCTTTCCTTCTTTTTTTCTTTTAAAGATTTATTTCTTTTTATTGGAAAGGCAGATATACAGAGAGGAGGAGAGACAGAAAGGAAGATCTTCAGTGATCTTCAGTGATCCTAAGTGACCACAATGGTTGGCACTGCACTGATCTGAAGTCAGGAGTTAGGAGCTTCTTCCAGGTCTCCCATGTAAGTGCAGGGTCCCAAAGCTTTGGGCCATCCTTAACTGCTTTCCCAGGCCACCAGCAGGGGCCTCCGGGGTTAGAACCAATGCCCATATGGGATCCTGGCATGTGCAAAGTGAGAACTTTAGTTGCTAGACTACTGCGCTGGGCCCTGCACTTTCCTTGTTAAAATGGATTGGGATCCTCTTTATTTTTTTTTTTTTTTAAGACTTGTTTTAAATTGGAAAGTCAGATTTACAGAGAGAAGGAAACACAGAGTAAAAAATCCTCTGTCTGGGGTTCACTTCCCAAGTGGCCGTAACAGCCAGAGCTGAGCTGATCTGAAGCCAGGAGCCAGGAGCCTCTTCTGGGTCTCCAACACAAGGAAGTGGAACAGCCAGGATACGAGCTGGTACCCATATGGGATCCCAGCGGATGCAAAGTGAGGATTTAGTCACCAGGCTATTGCGCCAGGCCTAAGAATTTCTTTCTTTCTTAGTTTCGTGGAGAATTGCAATTTCTTCAATCATGGCTCTGCCACATAACTATTCTTTCTTCACTCTACTGCTTGGTTCTCATAGACTAATTTTAGCTCTGGCCAAGATCATTAAATTGGCATTTCCTTCTCTAGGATAATTTTGCAGGCTTTATCTGTCACAGTAGCAGATCCTGGAAATTAGAATTTAGGGGTAGTCAGGTGTGTGTGTGTGTTGACTTACAAGAGGGAAAATGTATTCAGTTATAGCTTCCTGAATGCCTATGTGGTGAGAACTTACAGCCTCACTAAACGTGTGACACATAGGTATCCCGATGTTTGAGTTACAGGAATCTGTGCCTATAACTGTAAAGGCTTTTCTTGAGGCTACAACATGAAAAAGGTTGTAAAAGGTTTATCTAAAATTGTTGTCTAAACCCACACAGCTGACTTTCTTGATCAACGGGACTTAGGCAGTGCATTGTTCAGGCCCTGGAGGCTGCATCCTGCCCCTGCAGCTACCCTGAGGCTGCTTAGTGTTGGCCCAGAACTTCATCAAAACATGCTTATCTGGTGGTGGCGGTGGTGGCCTAGCAGCTAAAGTCCTCACTTTGAACCCCGGTTCTAGTCCCGGCTCCTCCACTTCCCATTCAGCTCCCTGCTTGTGGCCTGGGAAAGTAGTGGAGGACAGCCCAAAGCCTTGGGACCCTGCACTCGAGTGGGAGACCTGGAGGAGGTTCCTGGTTCCTGGCTTCTCGCTTCGGATCGGCACAGTTCCAGCCATTTCGCTCACTTGGGGAGTGAATAATCAGACTGAAGATCTTCCTCTGTCTTTCTTCCTCTCTATATATCTATATAATAAAAATAAATAAATCTTAAAAAAAAAAAGAAGCAACCAACAAACAAAAACATGCTTATCATTAACCTAGCTCGGGGGTGAAGGGTTCGAGTTCAGAAAGTTGACATCGCTGGGTTCAGATCTCAACTCCACTACTTACCAGCATATGCAGGTTAAAAACCCTTATCTTTCCAGACTCATAATCCCCTTCTCCCCGTGGTACAATGATGACGTTATTTATTCATTGAGTTGTGAGGGTTAACCGTGGCTTACAACACACTTGGTATGTAAGCATCCTCCGCACCAGCTGGAAGCAACTACTAACAGCAAAGTGCGTCTACCCTAGAGCTAGCAGGGCCAGGTCAGCCAGGCTCCAGGACACACAGTGTCAGCAGCGCTGATTCCGTCTGGGCCCGCGGCCTGACAGAGGTATCTCACTGGTAGGTAACAAGGGTCGGTCTCAGGTGCCATTTCCTTTCTGGACGTATTTTAAATCCTGTTATATATCCTCAGACCGACCAACGCCTACCTCGACACAGAGAAGCTGCAGCACCGCGCCTGCGAGGAGTCCATTCCTGCCTGACCCGGGCAGGCTGGCCACCAGCAACCCGCCGCCACGGTATCTCTAGTAGTGTACAGCCCGTTGTCGTGGCGACCAGGCCCCGGCGGCCCCTGCGGCGGGGGCGGGATCAGGGTCGCGTCACGCCTCCGAACTCAGCGCCCGCCTGTTGGGAGAGGGGCCAGGTAGCAGAGAGGCACTTTGACACGGGAACAGAGCGCTCCGAGACCCCTTCACTTACGGGGCCTTTGGGCCCCGGCCACCAGAACTGAAGCCGAACACGAATAGAAGCCTTGGAGGAGGGAGGGACGCTGAGGGGGCCGGATCCGCGTCGTTGACGGGAAGTGTAGTTTTTGGTGCCCCCAAAGTCTCAGCTGACCTAGTTCTCGACTGAGCAGGCTGTACCACATCTCCCGTCGTCCTCTACCATCCCCGCCTGGGCCGGCCTCCGCAGAGCTCTGCGTTGTGGGATATGAAGTCCCAAACGTGGCTCAAGAAGGGGCAGTGTCCAAAAAGAGGTGCCGGACTCGGACTCGGTTTCCCTGCGGCCCCGGGAGGCTCGCGAACCATTGGCTGAGCGGGGCGGATCTGGTCCTGTTCTTCCCCGCCCCCAGTGACACAATAGCAGCTCCCTCCAAGATGGCGGCGGCGACGGCGGACCCGGGAGCTGGGAATCCGCAGCCTGGAGATTCCTCGGGTGGGGGCACTGGGGGCGGGCTGCCGTCCCCCGGGGAGCAGGAGCTGAGCCGGCGCCTGCAGCGTCTGTACCCCGCGGTCAACCAGCACGAGACGCCCCTGCCGCGTTCCTGGAGCCCCAAGGACAAGTACAACTACATCGGCCTTTCCCAAGGCAATCTCCGTGTCCACTACAAAGGTATGGTCTTTGTGGCCACGGAGTGGGGATCCGGCCAGAGCATCTGCAGGACGGCTGTGACGATGCCGCCTGCCCCTGCCCCGTCGCGACCCTTTTGTTGCGGGGGTGCTCTGGGATAGGCCTTAGGCTCTGTGGGATGTCCGGTGCGGTGGGGCTGATCAGGTGGGCGAGTGAGGGGGCAGTCTGATTGTCTGCTCTGCCCTGAGACTCCCCCTTCCTTCTCCATGCCAAGAGAACTGCAACAGGTGCCCAGGCGCAGTGCTGGGCTGGACTTTCCACTTCAGGGCCTCCTGGCTAGTTTTGGGCTGCCTCCAACTTCAGCCCTGCCCTTTATCACTGTTGAGTTGTGGGAGTCTGACGAAAGGGCTGGTCACATCTTCACCGTTAGCTAGAAGTTCTTGGGCTTGCCCACTTGCCATTTCGTCCAGACTAGGTCAGGTCGAAGTTGAGTGGAGGGTCAGGGGGCATGTCTTCCAGACCTGCCCTCGACTTTCCATGGTTCTCCACGCGGACTGCCTGAATTCTAGAGAGATAGGCAGCAGCGCTGGGATGTCCCTCATATGCTCCCATATGACCCCTCCTTGTAGGTATGGGGGAATGGTGTCTTAGGCAGGGCTGCTGTTGTTAGGAGGAGGGTATGCCCAAGGCAGGAGCTGTGTGTGTTGGAGACTCTATACATTTCCTAGGGCTGCCATTTGCACTTCTTCCCCTTGACAGTTCTTCCTTGCCCTTTCCTGTTAGGTCATGGCAAAAATCACAAAGATGCAGCCTCAGTACGTGCCACTCACCCCATCCCTGCAGCCTGTGGCATTTATTACTTTGAGGTGAAGATCGTCAGCAAAGGAAGAGATGGGTAAGCCGATCGGTATACCACTCCCCCTTTCCCAACACTGAGGTGTTCCTGGTGGTGGTCAGGGTTCGAGGTCTGATAGCTGACATTGTGAGGCGCCGAGTCATGTGTGTTTGGGCTGCTGTGGTTCCTTGATGACTGTGGCTGGTCTCAGCATTAGGGCTTGAGAGCAGGTGGGTGTATTGTTGGCAAGGCAAAGTGGGGGACTTGAAATAATGATGTCATTAAAAGCTCAGAGATCAAGAAAACCAGTAGCAAGTTTGGATGAGCTATGAAGCATCCAGAGTTGGGTTTTTCCCCCAGGAGGTAGGATGTGTGTGTGGTTTCCCTTCTTTTCCACTCCTTTTTTATGGCAATTAGTCATGGAGAGGCCCCAGTTGGCTTCAAAGGAGTAGTAGAGTCTTTGCAGCTTTCATCAGAGCAGAGCTGGCCACCAGCCTGTCATCTCAGGGTAAACAGCACACACATGGTCAGCAGCAGGTGACCTGGCTGCCCATAAACTTGTTTTTCAGTCCAGGAACTTGAACACCAGTTGGACCAGCTTTAGGAAGGTCCTCATTAAAGTCAGCATCAGGGAGACACCCTGTTGTGGGGTGATGTAAGCAGACACAGGAAATCAGAAGGGAGGTTCTTAATTTTCGTTCCTCTTTTTCCTTCTCCTAGTCTCCTCCTTTCTTTTTTCTTTCCGGTGATGATGACCCAGCAGGTGTGTAGCTGCTTTGGAAAACACTTGGTTCACCAGAGATCTTTGTCCCAATCCTGTTTTTGTGCTTCTGCACATTAAGAATGATGCTTCTTTCCTAGGGATTATCCCCCTTGTGGTGCGTGTAGAATGCTCGGCCAAGGGACCATGCCATAGGCAGGATGGCTGGAGTCACAGGGTTTCCTCCTTGGGAAGCTTCATCTTGGGTAAATCCTGGGACTTCAGTCTCCTCCATGTTACAGGGAACTTGGCTAGCACCTAAGCTGCCTTAAGCTTAAAATTCTCTGATCCTGAAATTCCTGTTGTGGGAAAGTACTGCATCTTTCACTTTTATTTTCATATACAGCATTCAAAGGTAGGAAATTTATATTTATTGGAGGGATTTTTTTTTTTTCCAAGAAAAAAAGGCAGAGTGACAGTGAGAGGGAGCTAGGAGAAGGAAAAGGTGAGAGAGCAGGTGGGCACACATGCATAAGAGTGTTGTTTTCTGCTGGTCACTGCCCAGATGCCCAGAACAGCCTTTGTTAGGCTAGGCTAAGTGAAGCCAGGAGCTCCATCTGGCTCTCTCATTGAGTGGCAGGAACCCAAGCACTTGGGCTGTCATCCACTGCTCCCAGGTGTGTGGGTAGGAAGCTGGGTAGGAAACTCAAGAGCAGCTAGGAGTCAACCCAACACTCTGAAATGGAATGTGGCTCAACCTACTATACCTTCACCACTCCTGAAGGGCTTTTAAAAGCCGTTTATACCTTTTCATTTTATTTGGAAGGCAGACAAAGAGCTGTCTTCTGCCTACTAGGTCATTCCTCCAATGCTTGCTACAGCCAGGGCTGGGCCAGGCCAAAGTCAGAAAAAAAAACAAAAACCAAAACTATTCAGTTCTCTCCAGTGGGTTGCTGGGACCCAGGTACTTGAGCCTTCTTTATTGCCTTCCAGGATGCCCATTACCAGGAAACTGAGGAACCTGAAGCAGAAGTAGAGGGGCTGAGAGATGAACCTGACCCTTTGTGCCAAACACCTGACCTTACCAGAGGGTTTTGCAGCCCTTGTTTGGCCCTCCCACCTGATAAATGCACTTGGTGTCGTATGTGGCTTAGTGACGATGACATGTTCTGAGAAGTGTGCCATTAGGCAATTTCATCATCGAGTAAACATTGGAGTGTAGTTATGTGGACCTGGTGGTACAGTGCACACACACGTGTACCCTCTCTTGAGGCTGTCATCACACTTGCATATGCAGTCCTTCATTGACTAAAATGAACCAGTGTGAATGACAAAAGCCTCTTAAACACGTCAAAAATATTGATAGTGGTGATAGTGGTGACTGAAAGATTGATCCCAGAGTTTATTCTTCCCGCTGACATGGCGGGGAAGACATTTGTTAAACTGTAGGGGAGAGAAGTGAATGGCTTTCTCTGCAGTTTTTTTTTTTTTTTTTAAGATTTATTTATTTGTATTGGAAAGTCAGATATACAGAGAGAAGGAGAGACAGAGAGGAAGATCTTCCATCCGATGATTCATTCCCCAAGTGACCACAATGGCCGGAGCTGAGCCAATCCAAAGCCAGGAGACAGGAGCTTCTTCTGGGTCTCCCATGTGGGTGCAGGGTCCCAAGGCTTTGGGCCGTCTTCAACTGCTTTTCCAGGGCACAAGCAGGGAGCTGGGTGAGAAGCTGGGCTGCCGGGATTAGAACTGGTGCCAATATGGGATCCTAGCGCATTCAAGGTGAGGACTTTAGCTGCTAAGTTAATTGTGCCCGGCCACTTCTCTGCCGGGAATAACATAACATGAGCTAGTGAGACAAGATGTCTTCTCAGAAGGGGAGTGTTTAGACCAAGAGGCCTGCCTGGTGTCCTTCAGCAAGCTTTTGGCATTCACATTCTAAGTGGCTCTTGCTGGAAAAGGTCCTGTACCAGGTGAGATTGCCTTATGACAGAGGCTGTGTCCACAAGTCTGAAGAAAGGCGGGCCGACTTTCCTGGCCTCCATGGCCAGCATTTTATTTATTGGAGATGCAGAGAGCCAGAGAAAGTGAGCTCCCATCCTCTGGTTCATTTCTCAAATGTCTTCAATGGCCAAGGCTGGTCTGGGCCAATGAGAGGAGCCGAAAATTCAACCAGGGTTGGCTGTAGGAGCCCAGTTATTTGAGTGGTCACTGGGTGCCTCCCACTGGTCACGTTGGTAGGAAGCTGGAGTCAACTGGAGCTGCAGATGGAACCAGGGCCTCTGATGTGAGAGGCACCTGGGCATCTTAACGAGCATCTTAATTGCCAGGTTGAGCTCCCACCTCCATTCCTAGAGATTCTACACAGCGTGGCTACTGAGCTGATTTGGAAATCTTCATGTGTGATAATCTGTTTTATTGATGATAGACTGAGTGGCTGTCTCCCTGTGAAGGACTTTTGAAAGCCTTCTCATGACTGGTGTGGAGCCAGGGGCTGCTGTGGTTCACCTGTGGTTTTGGGGCGGCCAAGGGCGGTTACAGGACAGGCAGTTTGGCTGGCTGTGTCCCTCCCTCCCAGACTGCTGGGGGTGTATTCCTGCCCTCGTTTGACATGCACTGTAGCATTAGGCAGTTGTGTAGCTTTGCTATGTGACTGAGTTAGAGGGGGCTTGAAGCAGATGACAGTGTTCTCATTTCATGGGGGAGCCCTGACTTGTTGGGTACCTTTTCCTGATCCCAGTCACAGTGTCTGTGCTGCTGCTGCCCTTTCTCACTGGGGTGCTGGGGCACTCCTTCCTGGAAAGAGTGAAGAAGTCCCTGGCGGTGTGAGGGGGACAGGGCTGCAAGGGGCTTAGTGCTCAGAGGGGCCAGAGAAGAGTAACATGGCCTAGCAGGGCTTGAGCCACTTCCAGTCTGTTGAATCCACAAACCCGTTTTACTATAGTTTGGAGTACACCTTAGTAAAAGATGTTCTGGTTTTTAGTGTCATTTTTCTCCACAAAGGTTTTTGTTAGGGTTGCTGTCTTTTTTTTATAATGATTTCTGTTATTTGAGGGGCTGGTGTTGAGGTGTAGTGCATTAAGCTACTGCCTAGATTACCAGCATCCTTTATAGATTCAAGTACTAACAGCTCTACTTCATTTTTTTAAAAGATTTATTTATTTTTTATTGGAAAAGCTGATATACAGAGAGGAGGACAGACAGAAAGGAAGATCTTCCGTCTGATGATTCACTCCCCAAGTGACCACAACGGCTGGTGCTGTGCCGATCTGAAGCCAGGAGCCAGGAAATTTTTCCAGGTCTCCCACATGGGTGCAGAGTTCCAAGGCTTTGGGCTGTCCTCGACTGCTTTCCCAGGCCACAAGCAGGGAGCTTGATGGGAAGTGAAGCTGCTGGGATTAGAACTGGTGCTCATATAGGAACTTGGTGCGTTCAAGGCAAGGACTTCAGCTGTTAGGCCACGGTGCTGGGCCTGACAGCTCTACTTCTAATCCAGCTCTCCTGGGAATGCAGTGGAGGAAGGCCGAAATGCTTGGGTTCCTGCATTCATGTGGTAGATCTGGATGTGGCTCCTGGTTCCTGGCATCAGCCTTGCCAAATCCTGGCTCTTGTGGATATTTAGGGAAGGAATCCATGCATGGAAGCTCTCTCCCCCTCCCCACCTGCCTCCCTCTCTGTGAAACTTTGTCTTGTAAATATTTTGGAGCCTACATTGTAGTATAGTGGGTTGAACCACTGCCAATGATGCCAGCATCCCCCATGGTCACTAGCTTGAGTCCTGTCTGCTCCACTTTTGCTTCAGTTTCCTGCTAATTGACCTGGGAAAAGCAATGGAGATGGCCCAAGTAGTTGGGTCTCTGCTCCTACACGGGAGACCTGCAAGAAGCTCCTGCTTTGGTCTGGCTTCAGTCTGGCTCAACCCTGGCCATTACTGTCTTTTATGGAGTGAGGCAACGAATGGAAGATCTGTTTCTCTGTCCGTTCTGTCTTTCAAATAAATAAAAATGAATCTTTTCAAATTTTATTTTTAACATTGTTTACATAGTTGTAGGGATACATCTCCATGTGGGCTTCTGATTATAGTAGGGAGGGTCAGATATGGAGGAAGGTGGGTGGGATGATTTTTTTTTTAAAGATTTTTTTTTTACAAAGTCAGATATACAGAGAGGAGGAGAGACAGAGAGGAAGATCTTCCGTCCGATGATTCACTCCCCAAGTGGCTGCATGGCTGATGCTAAGACAATCTGAAGCCAGGAGCCTCTTCTAGGTCTTCCATATGGGTGCAGGGTTCCAAAGTTTTGGGCTGTCCTCGACTGCTTTCCTAGGCCACAAGCAGGGAGCTGGATGGGAAGTGGAGCTG